GGGGCTGTGCTGACCAACACCCACCTCTGCTCTTCATCCTCCTCCTCCTCCTCACAGGGTGACCGTGGTGAGACCGGCCCTGCTGGTCCCCCTGGTGCTCCCGGTGCTCCTGGTGCCCCCGGCCCTGTCGGTCCTGCTGGCAAGACTGGAGATCGTGGGGAGACTGTAAGTGATGACCCCCCCCTATCCCACTCAGGGGGTCACCCTGGGCTGGACCCAGTGATGTAGCAAGGACTGATGATCCCACTGACCCACGGCTGGTCAGGGTCCAGCTCCAGACCCAGATCCCACCCCTGGAGTCCCCCCACCCCTCTCCAGGTGACACTGCCCCAAGCTGGTGGCAGCAGATGGTGGTGGATGCTCTAACCTGTCCCCTTCTCTCCTGTCCCAGGGTCCCCAAGGTCCCGCTGGCGCTCCTGGTCCTGCTGGTGCTCGTGGTCCTGCTGTAAGTTGATGTTCTCCTCCATCCTCCTTGGAGCTTCTGTGTCCTCATGGGTGTGGGGGCAGCAATTGGCCTGGACCCCTCTCAACACATCTCCCTCCTCCTCCAGGGTCCACAAGGTCCCCGTGGTGACAAAGGTGAAACTGGTGAACAAGGTGACAGAGGCATGAAGGGCCACAGAGGCTTCTCTGGTCTCCAAGGCCCACCTGGTCCTCCTGTAAGTCTCATGGGGTGATGGTGGCTCTGGGTGTTGCCCCATGTCCTGGAAGCAGAGCAAGATGCTGATGGGGCCTTCTCTTCTTCCTTGCTTTGCACAGGGCTCTCCTGGTGAACAAGGTCCCTCTGGTGCTTCTGGTCCTGCTGGTCCAAGAGTAAGTCCCTGGTGGTTGCCCCACCACCTCTAGTCACAGCTGGAGCATCCTGGGGGGAGCAGGTTTCTCGTGGGGATGTGGGTTGGGGCTGGTGGGACGGTCTGGGCAGGGGTGTCCATGCTCAGCCTCTCTCCTCTCCTCCAGGGTCCTCCTGGCTCTGCTGGTGCTGCTGGCAAGGATGGTCTCAATGGGCTGCCCGGCCCCATCGGTCCTCCCGGC